GGGAGTTTGGTCATTGGTGTAACATCAAACGAGGTCTGGGAGGCAATTATGCTAATAAGCATAAGACTTCTGCAAGTACCAAGTGTAAATTTTACTCTTTACCACTAATCTACAATCAAAGTTCAATTTACCACCTTCCAGTGATCGTCCAGTCAATATAAGGAGGTTCCCCTTAGAGACGGGACTCATCCTTTTTTATCAAACAGAGGCAAAAAGGATACCAATACCTATAGATCCATTTCTTAGCTAAAAAAAAATTAAAAACCGTTCAAGTTGAACTTTCTATATTGGGCTTGGGTTGGGTAAACTGTCACCATAAGAGGTTGGGCTTTTGTTTGCACAGTTCAGTTGATCAAGTCGTCTGAGTCAAAACTGCGAGGGCAACTCGATCGATCTAATATAACCAAGTTTGTTGGGTAGTAATCTCATGGTTGTGGATTGGGCATACCAGATTTAGTACCACTTGTGACCCCTATGTGTCGCAAAAATTATTCATTTGGTTTCCTGAAACTGTCACCCCCTAACTTTTTACACCTCATTAAACATTTTTATTTCCGTCTAAAGTTTTTAAAAATACCACATTTATGTAATTTATTGTGGGTAGAAATTATTCTTAATAGTGTTTTAGATATTTTTTGGTGAGAAAAAATAATTTATGTCGTATGCAGAAAATTAGGATGACAAAATTTTGTGAAACGTGGAAGCACAATATTTTGTGTGTATGCCTTAGAGCAGGGATCGGTTCAAAGGAGGACCAAGCGCCCTACTAGCCTAGGTCTACTTTTTCGAGGCCCAATGCCCGGTGCGAAAGAACAGGTTGAACCTGCCGTGGGCCTTCCCAGGGCCGTCTCCGAGAAATAAATCAGTCATCATGTCATAATGAAGCAAAATCTATAAGTTACATTTTTTAATAATTAAAAAATTACTATGTATAATAGTAATAAAAATAATAAAAAATCAAATGTGTAGTCTTATAAATCTATAATTACATACCTTAATAACTAGCCAAAGATTCTTAAAGTTTTTCTAGCATTTTTGAGATCAAATTGGTTGAAATATGACTTTTGATGTATTTTTTAAATATTATTTTTAAATTCTACACTAATTTTCAAATAAAATGAATTGAGACGAAAAATGTAATATAAATAATTAAATACAGAGTAATAAATAAATATATGTAGTACACTTACAAAAAAATGGGCCCCATCTACAATTGGGCCCTGTCCAAGAGGCCATTTTGCCCTTGGCTTGAGCCAGCCATGGGCCTCACATGGACGAGCTACCAAAGCGTTGTCGGGTCATCATGACATTTCAATGTCATGTAATTCGATGACATCAATGAATGTGCTCTTACTCGGTATATGTCAAATTAAATCTATTTGTTCTACTATTTTTTAATAAAGTTTTTTCTAAAAAATTAAATATTCACTTATTTTTAATTTTATATTATTATTGAAATAAATTAAATTAAAAAGAAGTTCAGTAGTGTTTCGTTAACTACCACAAGAACTTCTCTGTAGGGTTCTATCTTAGTGAGTGTTTTTCATTGTTTATAAGTTGGTTAAAATTATTTATTTTTTAATTTACAAGTCAATTGATTACATATTTTCTCTGTGCTTATAAGTTGTTTAGGAGTAAAAAATAAGTATGTTTAACTACTTATTTTTAAGCTAGTTTTTATATTTTTTCGTTACGTTTTGACCAGATTTTCTACTATTATCCCTCATCATTTATGAATTTCGCTAATGATTAATCTATTATTTGTGTCCTTTTACTTGTATAAAAGAATATTTAACTTATATGTAATTTATAAGTTAAGAATTACTTATAAACAATATGCTAAGAAACATCGGGACAGGGAAACACATTATCTTAGTTCTGAAAGTCAATTGAACATTAAATTTTTCACATAAGTAAATTAATAACAAGTGGAATTAAATATTTGTCATAGGTTCATCTAAAAATTTACCTACGAAATAATTTGGGCATAAATGAAGCATTAACATTATATTTTGAGATATCTCACAATTTCAAGAAAATAAGAAGATAGTATACATATATTAGGTGGTCTACAAGTCACAATAAATTAATAAATAAACAACTTAGCCAAGCTTATGTATTGACCTTTGGTGCAAATAGTCCAATCTCTAAGATTTATGAAAAAAGTCAACTAGATTCGAGTCCTAGTAGAGATATGATGAAAGCATTGACTAAATGTAAATTATTATTACAAAAATATAAACAGATACTATATAATAATCGAGTCAATAACATTTACTTAATTAAGTCTTAAAAATCTCTCTTGTTTGAATTTTTTTGGTCAAACAATAACACTCTTTGACTATAAATTAAATCTAAAAAACAATTGATATTAAATTATAACTTAAAATGAATCCAATTATATCAAATTAATATTATGAGTAAATATATTTTTTTAACAATTTATAGTAAAAAAATATTACTATTTGACGAAAAAATATAAAAATAATAATAATTTTTAGCATGGGAGGGAGTAAAAAATAACTCACCTAAAACCAAGGGAAAATTCAAGTTTTGACTGTGACTTAAAAAGATGACAAATCGTCAAAGATGTTGAATAAAACGGTAATTCTCTAAGATTTACTGTTACTGTGTTACCAAACGGGGAAAATACTTGTACCATGTCTTGTTCTTTTGTGTTTCTTCCTGTCAAAATTCTGTTCCCGTTGGATTTTTCTTGGTCACATATTTAAACTGTGATAAGGAAAAATATGTTACTCCAATCCTTATTATTTTATGATACAAAGTTAATATTAACAACTTCAATTTTGTTAGAGTTTATCCCACTACATCAGAAGTTGAAAAGAAAAATAAAAGGTATATAATAAGTTATGGAATTTAACAAAGAAATGAATTGAATTCAATTTTTAGTATGATTCAACTCTCTTATGGCCTTATTTAGTATCACTACCCTATTTTAAATGATATCATGGTCTTAACCAATTTTAGTGCACCTCATTTTTCAAGGTATTGGTATAGACGTTCATTTATAACTACCTTAATCTTTTAGCCTAGTTCATGTGTCTTGTTTAACCTGAATGCTTATCTCGAAATCCATACCTAACAATCATGGTCCTTTGGATGTTAACGCTAAAAACTAATAACCAATGGATGACAATTCGTTTCCAAGTGATAAACCAGTTAGATTCAAAATAACTCATTTGTCCACTCGAGGGAGAGAGTTAAAGTCTATTCCACATACGAAGTTGAAAAGAAAAGTAATGTTATATTCCGTCTAAACTTTTAAATTGAACCAAGTAATAAATTAAATTCAAACTTTTAAAGTAGTTCAACTGAAGTATCTTATGCCACAGTTTAGTATTCCTACACCATTTTTATCCTATCAATTTTTTCAAACTTACTTTTTTCAAAATAATAATTTTATAAAATATACATATGCGCGATTTGTGTCTCTCTAAACTATGACACTTTTTCATAACAAATACGGAGTAAAATGTAATTTAAATAAAAAATGATATAAAATTTGATATATTGAAATTAAATCTTAAGATGAATCTAGTTATATTAAATTTACATTTCAATTAAATTATTTTTTTCAATAATGAAACAAAATATTATTTTTATTAAATAATGGAATAACAATGATATGATATACCCAGGTTCAATTCCTGATAGCTGCAATGTGAGACAATTCTCTCTGTCTCTAAAAGATTTTCACATTTTGATTTTATTTAGTCCACCCTAGTACCCTTTGACCGCGAATTACGGAAAAAGTATATTTAATTATAATTATGTAGGTTTATTAAAATTGATTTTTAAAAAAATATAATTTTAAAATATCAGATTGTTATCATATTTAATTATTTTAAAACTATACCATAAAAAGATATTCACTCTAACAAAAAATGCAATCAAAGAAATGATGCTCGATCTTGTATGTGCACTAATCCTTCAATAGTGAGATACCCCCAACAATTTTTATACGGAGTATACTCTAATGATATGATGATGCACGCACTGACGAGAACGCACGTACACACACATAATTAATAGTCATCCACTAAATTCAACTTGAACTCACATTTTCACTCCTAAAATTTTTGTTATGATATGGCATTAAAGGTTAATGTTCATATTTTGGAAAAAATTATATGATGATAGTATTTAGTATTAGGATTTTCGAAATTAATCTATTTCTATAAGATTTTATCTAAAATGTTAATGCTATTAAAATGTGAGAAAATCACTCTAAATATGAGTAAAATATAGATAAAATAACGAATAAGAGTTTTATATTTTTATTGCATAAATAAGAGTTTGAATTGTGGTAATGTGACACTGTACATGAACATTTTACTGTATTTTATAGTAATGTACATGGGCATAATAAGCAATGTAAATGCATTTTAATTTTTATTTCAAAAATAAAAATATAAAATTTCTATTTTAATATATTTTCAAAATTTTACACCTATATTTTTTCCTAAAAACGTTGTTCCGAATATAAGGCCTTAGTCTCCACAACATCAATATGTGTTTTTTCATATTTTTTTAATACTCCCTCCATTCCGGAGTATTCGTCCAGTTTTTATTTTTGAAACTGTTCATCTAAGCACTTTGACTCATCAAATTCTCTCAATGTATAAGCCTAAATATAGTCATGTGTGATTTTATTTGATTTGTCTTAAAATATAGATTATTAATATATAATCTTTATAATTTTTTAATATACAAATTACAAGATAAAATGAATTAAAGAAATGCATTAGATGATGTACAAAAATAAAAGTGGACAAATACGGACGGGAAGAATGTGTTTTTTTAACACGAGGGAATAGTATAGTAAGTTTGAACAAAATCCAAGTTGAGAATATTGATAGGCAAATTTTCATTTAATGAGGTGTGGGCCAATGTTGAAGAAAAAGAGGAAACATTATAATAATAATAAAAATAAAGACTAAATTATTAGTGCACATATGAAAAATCTTAAACAATTGGGTCTCTATAAAATCCCCCTTTTGCATCTATTTCCTCTCTTCATACTCATTTCTCCATCTAAACTCACTTAAAAAAATAAAAAAAAATTCTCTCTAGATGGGCGCGGTAAATTTACTCTTCTATCCCTGCACCAATTCCTTCCCCTCTATTTACGTTCCGTTTTATATTTTATTTTACGCAGAATTTATTTATTTATTTCAAGACAGGCTAATAAAAAGGATTTGATTTGTTTTGGGTTCAGAAAGAAGAAGCCAAGAAAGAAGTTGTTGCAGAGAAGACGAATGAAAGAGGGGAACCAAAGGGCGCCGCCGGGAAGGAGGAGGAGCCGCCGGCCGCCGCCGTCGTGCTAAAGCTCGACTTGCATTGTGAAGGCTGTGCCAAGAAAGTCAGACGCTCAATCCGCCATCTCGATGGTATTTTATTTTTTAATTTTTTGAATTAAATATATTTGATTACTGTGCATGGTATTTTTATTTCTAAGCTATTTCAAAGAATTGAAACCACCTCTAATCCCTACATTTTTTTTTTAAGAAAAAAAAACACATCTACTTTTTTTTCTTTTTCCAAAAAAAAAATACATTAAAGACTATCATATAAAGGTGGATCGATCTATCTAAAATGGTGTGAAATATAAGTCATCACAACATTTGTTCTATTTTCAATATGTATGTTTTCATCTAATCTTTATTTATTTTATTTCAATACTCTTTCTCCACATTTCAACCAATTTCGAATAATTTTGTTCACTTTTTCACATCGTTTTTAATCACTTTTTAATATAATCCTAAAAGGTTTAATATATACGAGTATATATTTATATTCATGAGGACATGAGGTACACGTCTTTGAAAACAAAATCACTTTCAAAAGTGAAATACGAAGTACTACTCATTTACCCACTAGAAGTATATTGTGGTACAGGATGCCACGCACTATTTGTTTGTCGGGTTTATTTGTGTTATAAAAGTTAATTGAATTTATATACCAAAATTAATTATTTGTCCCCTCCAATAATACTTTTCAAAAATGAAAAAAACACTTTAAAAATAGATAATTTTGGTATTACCTCATCCGTTCTAAAATATCTTTTCAGTTATTATTCATACCGTCAAATTTAAATTACTTTCTTTACCTATTTTCGTTGCTTATTTGATAAAATAATATAGTATGGTCACCTCTCATTTTGTAGAAATTTTAATGTAGTTTTTAAATATGTAAAATTTTATTTTTTAATTTTACACCTACAATCAAATAAATTGAATTAAAAATAAAGTCAGTCAAATCTCGTAAACACAAACTGGCAGATGGTTTTAGGACGGAGGAAGTAATGTTTTAATTATGACTCATTTATTTTATATATCATATCCTATCTTATTTTTAGGGTGCTTCTTTGAAAATGTTTATAGAACAGAGAAAATATATACTTTCAATAATCCACTCACAAAATTTTTTATCCCCCGTTTGGTACACAAAATTTAAACTATGGAATTAGAATTCAGTATTTTAAATCCAAATCTGGTGTTTGGTAGCGCAAAAATTATATGGATTTGGAATTGATAGTGCAAAAAATGAATTTCAATTGGTGAATTCAGTTCTATGGAATTGACTCACATAAAATTTTAATTCAAATTTAATTCCAATTCAATCAATTCTGTATACCAAACGGACCTTTATACACTTTCGCTTTTGGAACATCTTGGTTCGTAAATATTAACTTTTACTTGTGTTTTTATCTTTTTTAGAAATGAAAATGTATTTCATTATATTTTCAATACATTTCATAAATTTTGTAAAAATTAAATCAAGCGGGAAAAATGGTGTTTAAAGAACTTAGTAGTTAGTACTCCATATTACTACGTAGTAGTCTGCACCAGCTAGAGGATAGCTAGATTGAGACCTGGCTAATTAATCACCTAATACTTTATTAGTTATGAATTAATCCTCGTTAGGTGAGATTTAAACGCTTGAAACTAATATAATCGATAATTAATGATTTCTATATTTAGGTGGAAATGACGTGATAATTTGTGGTTAGAAAAGTTGTCACATTTCATTCCTTTTTATTTTTATTTTTTTGTCTTATGTAATGCCGTCTCTTTCTCACAACAGCTCAAATATTGTTTTCAGGTTTAATTTTATAATTTTCATATTCTGCTTTAATAAATTAAATTAATATAGTTTCCTCTTCTTGTACTCTACAATTAAAAATTGTATATTCATTGAATAACTAATTAATAAAGAATTATACTTTCTTTGACTATTTCTTTGACTAATAATAATGTTCTCGTTTACTATTTTCGTTACCTATTTGGTAAAACAATATAATTATGTTCCTTCCGGATTTGTATATCTTTTTATCTAGTTTTTAAATATATAATTTTTTTAATTACATAAAATTTTTATAAAAAAGTGAAGTTAAAAATAAATTCAGTTAAATATTACTCCATACGTCCCCAATTTCATTACAAATTTCGGGTTACGGAGTAAAATTCTTTACTTTTTGAAATCATTTTATTTACAAATTGGTAGATCAATAAGATATAAAAATTACATATTAAAAAACTACGTCAAAAATCCTATAAAACAAGAGGTGACAAGAATATTTTATTTTATCAAATACTTAATGAAATTGCGTGAACAAACAAAAGTTATCGAAAGGAGAGAAAAATTGTAATCTATTTAGAGACGGGGTTGTATAACACATTAGGAGAATAATATTATTGGAGAGAGAGAGTAAAGTAATTTAATGTTTGGAGAATCACAAACATTTCGGTCACAAAATAAACAACGTTATCATTTGTGCACCTCACTAAATGAACAAAATGGTGTTGAATAATTAAAAAGTAAACACTTCAATACACAAATGGTAAATTTGTGTATTTTATGATTGAAATGTTTGTGACTCTATGATTTTTCTTTTGATATCGGGAGAAATCCAAGTCAAACATGGCTATTTTATTTTCTGGAGTTCTCGGTGGGTTGAATGACATCACTCTGCGGAAATGTAGCAGTCCTATAGATAGGAACATAAACAATTTTGCCAACAATTTTATGAATGAAATCCACAAAATAAATACACTTCTATATACTTTGTCCGTCCTAAAATAATTTATATTTTACACAAAATTTGAGTTAAATTCTAATTATTAAAGGTTTACTCCATCCCCCCGTAAAAAAACTTATTTTTTTTACTTGTCACATAAATTTTTTCCAATTTTATTAAAAAATCACATTTACCTCTAGTAATTCTAAACTTACTTCTCATATACTACCCCCGTTCCAAAAAGATTTACACATTTTGACTAAAGTTGAAATTAATGAAGGAATAATTTTGTGTTGACTTTCCAAAAATATCCTTGATGTGATGAGTAAAAGTAAGATGTGATGTGTAGATTATTAGGAAAAATGTATGATGTGATAGGTAGAGTTTGAAAAAGTAAAGGGTAAAAGTGTTTTTTTAATAGAAATGAGTAGGAAATTATGGGACGCAATTTTTTTGAAAGATGTAAATCTTTTTGACACGGAGGGAGTAATACATTTTTAGTAACAATCTACACGTTACTTTGTACTTTTATCCAAGGGTTTTTTGGAAAGTTAACACAAATATTTTTGCTTTAATTTCTTTAAGGTCAAAATAGGAATAACTTTTTAGAACGGAGGAAGTATCTTATTTGAAAATTAGTATAAAAATTAGAAATAAATTTATAGTTTTAAAAATTACGCCAAAAATGATTCAAAATAATAGGTGACTGATGGGTATATCCTTATACCCGACCCGGACAACCGAAAGGGACAGGTCAAAATATGACCGGTCACTTTTATCAATCACCAAATGAGGTTAACTCTTCGATTGGGACGGGTCAAAAGTTGACCGGTCACTTCCACTAAAAAAGTGACCGGTCACATTTTGGGCGTTAGCCGAAATGTCGCATAATGTTACGAAGAAGACCAGAGACGGGTTGAGCACAAAGAATGACCGGGTAACCTTTGAGAGAAGGTGACCAGTCATATCATCTCACTTGACGAACATTGGTCCAGTATCTCAGGCATGGTGAACCACGTCAGAGGACAAGGGGACACCCCGCCGCTCATCCATCACGTGGCACAGTGAAAGGGATGTTTGTCATTTTGCAGGGCTGATTGGATTGAGAATATCCATTTTAGTCTTTGATTGAACAGTACATGTTTTGGCCTATGGTTGCTAAATTCTATGATTGTACAGTGTTCCCATTATCTACAGTGACCTTCCCACGAGCTTCCTATTTTGTCCATGGATGAACAGGGGAAGGTCACAAATCCTCCTCTATAAATATGATGATATTGGATAGAGGAGGGGATCCAATTTTTCTCTCACTAAAGTTCACTCTTGAGATAGAGTAAGAAATATAATTCGGACTGAGGAGATTTTACCCGGTCTAGGTCATATTTTGTGTTCTTGTTGTGTGTTTTATATTGCGGGTCAAGTGTCCAGGTCAAACCCGGTTAACCCACCCAGCTATATTTACACCATCAGTGACAATTATGTTTTATTTTACTCCCTTCGTCCTATAATGATATTCCGAGAGAATTTATATTTATTTGTGTTTTTTCATGGCCTATATGATAAAATAAAATATTCTTGTCACTACTTGTTTTGTTGAACTTTTGATGTAGTTTTTTTAAATATGTATGTTTTATTTTTTATTTCTATACCAATATTTAAATAAAATAGATCGAAAAAACTTAGGATTTTTTTTCGTTTTGCGAACCGGGAAGATCATTATAGGACGGAGGGAGTATCAAATAACAAAACGCACAACTAAATAAAACAAATTAGAATTATTAATTTTGGACCGTTGATGTAGGGGTGAAAGACGTGAAAGCGGAGTGGGAAACCGGAAAAGTGACGGTCAAAGGGGACGTTGACCCCGCCATGCTCCGCCACACGGTCGCAAGCAAGACCAAGAAACAAGTGTCGCTTCTTTCTCCTCTCCCTAAAAATGACGACGGCAATGCTACCGCCGCCGGCGCCGACAAAAAGCCCGACGAGAAAAAAGAGGAAAAGAAACCCAAAGAGGTACCCATCTCTTTTTTTTCGTGTTGTCTTTTCACACCTTACAATACAACACATAGGATATTCTTTTTATAAAAAAACATATTTAAAAATTAATTTTAAAATGAATTTATTATTATTAAAATAATATTGCAATTTACTTTATTTTTTCTTTTGTTTATGGTCAAAATTTAAAAATACTAAAGAAAAATATAGAAAGGAGGGAGTCTATATAATGTTTAGCAACATAAAATTATATGATGAGCAATTATTATTATTTTAATTAAAAAATCATAAGAAATGGAGTAATTATTTGATATATCTTCATATTTTTTGCAGGAGGCGAAAGCAACCATGGTGGTTATGAAGATTAGACTACACTGTGACGGATGTGCACATAAAATAAAGAAAATCATTAAGAGTATTAAAGGTAATTAATAGTCTTTTAAGACCCCTTATTATTATACTCTTTTATCCCACAAAATCATTCTAGCTTATTTTTTATCTGTATAAAAAAAATATTCTTATTTTTATTAAAAAATTACTTTTATCTTTACTAATTTTTAGCTTATTTATCACATTATTATTTTTCATTATCAATCTATTCATCACATTCTATTTGACATCTATGGATATTTTTGAAAATTCAAAACCAAAATACACTCATATCTTAAATTTTTTAAATTTAAAATCGAAAAAAAATTCTTAGACGAAAAGAGTATAATAATTAATAAATTTATGTTCGTTCATCACATGTAATTTTGTACTTCCTCCGTCCCTGAGTATTTGTCCACTTTTAACTTTATTCGGTCAAAATTAGTAAATTTTGACCTCAAATTAAATTAAAATGATAATAGATATTGATACAAAAAGAGTTTCTTTAGATTTATTATATCAAATATTTTCCAAATATTATTTTATTTCATTAAAATACAATATATAATTTATTTAATTATAGGTCAAATATTAAAAATAGTTAACTGAAAAAAGTCAAAAGTGGACAAATACTCAAGGATGGAAGTGGTATATCTGTTTCAGACACGATTAAATTAAAATAATAAGATAGAATAACGTCACGTTTCTCTAACGATAATTTGTGACAACTATTATTTCTAGGAGTGCAAAATGTGACGGCCGACACGGAGAAAGATTTGGTCACGGTAAATGGGACGATGGACGTGGCGGAGCTAACTTCTTACTTAAGTAAAAAATTGAAGCGGCGCGTGGAGGTTGCGCCATCAGCTAAGACCGACTCCGGCGAAGAAAAAAAGGCACCCGAGGGCGGCAAGAAGGAGAAAGAGGCGCCGAGCGGCGGCGGGGAAGGGGAGAAGAAGAAAGACGGCGACGGCGAGAAAAAACCGGACGGTGGCGGGGAAGCGGAGGCGAAGGCGGAGGTGAACAAGATGGCGTACGGCGGCTACCACCCAAACACGCATTACTACATGACGCCGCCGATGTACAACCAAAGTTTTCATAATCAAGACTACGGCGTAATGATGCATGATGACCCATTTGACGGCTACGGGTTTAACCACGCGCCGCTGTACTCGCGCGTGGCTCCGCCTCCTCCTCCGCCCACGTACATCAACGCGCCTCCGGACCATATGTTCAGCGAAGAAGATCCGAATTCATGTTTTGTGATGTGAACCGGACAGCTAGCGTTGCATACATAAATAAATGAAAGTAAATACTTAATTAGCTCATCATTATAACTTTAATGATGTATTAAGTTGAATGTATGTGAACATGGTGTATGTCCATATTCATTCAACTTTGAGGAATAATAATAAAAAAGTTGTGAAAATTAGTTAAATGGGAACAAAAAATATATGCGAAATGGTTTGTGTACATAGGAGACATAAAAGAATAGATTAACCGACGATGACGGTTGTTAATTAACAAGTATGAATGGTTTAGGTTGGCTCTTATTATTATTCTTTGACTTCTATGTGAGATTAATTGGTAATATTTCAATTTTTGGTGGCATGCATCATTAATGTACCCATGTTGCGTGTGAGTAATTATTATCTAAAATATAAAAATATTAAAGATTATATTATTATTTTTGACATATTTACTTTCTTCCATGACAATTTCTATACTTTGCCGAATTCACCCCTTTTAACATTGGTTAACTTTTGAAAATTTTCGAGGAAGGGATTCAAACATTTCAAAGTTGAAAAGAGTCGGTGAAAAAAGGCATTGAAAGTTTAACTTGAAAGTTAAACAAAGATTTTGTGAGTCAATTTTTTGGGTCCGGACCATTCTTCAACTGTCGGTAACCATACAAATTACTGTGTTGAATATGATGAGGTAAATTTTAAAAAGAACTGTCAAAGAATCAATTCAACCAAAAGCTCAAGTTTGTGGTTGTGGCCCAGGAATGATTGTTATATACTCTAACACGCTCCCTCACGTGCAGGCGTGACCTCTTTTGAGCCTTGCACGTGAAACCCTAATTTTTTTTAAACTGGGTGGCGCTGAGTTTCGAACTCGTGACCTCTTAGTCAACGAGGCTCCGATACCATGTCAAAGAACCAATTCAACCAAAAGCTCAAGCTTGTGGTTGTGGCCCAGGAACAACTATTTATATACTAACACGCCCCCTCACGTGTAGGCGTAGTCTTTTTCGAGCCTTGCACGTGAAACCTTAATTTTTTTTAAACTAGGTGGCGCTAAGTTTCGAACCCGTGACCTCTTAGTCAACGAGGCTTTGATATCATATCAAAGAACCAATTCAACCAAAAGCTCAAGCTTGTGGTTGTAGCCCAGGAATGATTGTTATATACTCTAACAAGAACAACACAAATATTTATAAAAACAAATCTCTAACTAGAGAGGACCCTGAGCTGAGAATGATTATTTTTTTTTAATCTTATTGTATTTACTTTCTCCCAATTGATTACAATTTTTTTCTACTTTCATTTCAATAACTTTAATTTTGTTTATCTATTTAGTTAGATTGATTATTTATAGAAATATTTTAGTACCCCGTAGTAATATACTACGTAATTAATTTATTATAACTAGGATTATAATTAATGTAGTTAATGGAAGATGACAAACTCATTTTAATTTCAAATCATTCATGCAAATTGAAAATGCATTTGGGATTATTATTCAAATTCTTGGCTTCACTTGTGACATGTGAGAACACAATAATATTCAAGTCCTTCCAAATATATATAAGACATGCAATAATATATGTTGTCCTTTTAAGTCATTTGGAAAAACTAGTAATCAAAATCTCTATATATTTGTCCCAAATACAAATCAAGTGCTTAATTATATCATGCTACCTTGCTTGGTGGGCCTTACAAACAAGTTATTAGTGAATCTTAAAAGAATTGATTATACCCCCTCCGTCCTATAATGATCTTCCCAGAGCATTATTCCAACTTCACGGAAACTTATATTTATTTGTATTTTTTCATGGCCTATATGATAAAATAAAATAATCTTCCTACCACTTGTTTTGTTAAACTTTTGATGTAGTTTTTAAATATGTATGTTTTATTTTTTATTTCTATACCAATATTTAAATAAAATAGATTGAAAAAATTTGAAATTTTTCTTCGTTTTGCGAACCGGAAAGATCATTATAGGACGGAGGGAGTAATAATAATATTCTCTCCCTTGTATTTTTGGTATTTTTTGAGGTTGTGCCGTCAAACCTAAAAAAGAGACAACCAGAGTATTCCTTTCGAATTTATCTTTCTAGTTGATATTTAAATATTAAATCAAAAATTTCTCTCTACATATTTCATTTACAATTTTTAAAAATAAAATGGCTATCTCGTTTTTTATTATGTGCATAAAACTCTTGAAAATATATTCACTCCGTTCCTAAAAAGAAACCTTAAATCACTAATGAATGAAATAAAGAGTGTATATTTGTAGTTGACTTTCTAATATTGCTTTTGATGTAATTGGGTGAAAGCTAAGTAAGATGTGATAGCTAGATTATTAGTGAAAAAATATGATTTGATAGGTTGGATAAGAAAAAATATGAGTAAAGTTAATTTTTTAATAGAAAATAGAAGTTTTTAGGGAAAGTGAAAAAAATAAAAGAGCAAGTATTTTAAAAAAAGGAAGTATAATTTTAAAAACTCTGATAGTCCGAGAAAAACGGACAAACTGTAGTGTAAAATTAACGAATTACATATAAATTCGGGATTCAGTTTCTAACTCAAAAACTCGAGTGGATAAATATATGTATGACTTGACCATCTACATATGCTAGGCGTCCTCATGTTTAATTATGTAGGGGTCATGACAAATATATATCACACTCCGCATATATATGTAGCTGTGACTAGAGATACCATGATAATAAATACGGAGTATGTGAAAAGTACATGAGATCTTATTAAATCTATTATTGGGATTTCAAAAATCAAATACACTGTCTCATCCCAAGAAAATTAAGGTCTTGTTCCGGAACATCGTTAGAGATTAGCATTAGTGTTTCGAAAACATTATATATCTACGAGCAGCGTTCCGCATTTTCAAAGCTAAGTAATCTACACTGTTAAATTTTTTTCCACAACACTACCGTAGTCTCTATTGTTATTCTTAAACAAGCCGTGAATCATAGTTTAATTAACTCGTAGGAACCCTAATTACAAAAAATATCCGCTTACACAAAAAGGGTAAAAAGGGAAGAGGGTTAAAACCACGTACATGCAAATAAAAGAGACAATATATATGGATAAATATATGGAAGTACCAAAAACTTTAGATGGAATTGAAGAAGTTAATTACAAGTAGGAAACCATTTAGCGCCGAGTGGTCGTACGTTAGGATAAACGTTACGTGCATTGCATGTATAGATCTGTCCCATTTGCATTATTTTGGGCCGGAAATCAAATCCGACTTATTGCGTCACGTTTTATTTTGGTCTACAACAAAACCGGTACTGTTTTGTATTGCACATTGTCAAATGTTGACATCACTTTAAGCCTCTAACCTTTATTTCTTGCTGTAAAATTGTTACACGAATTTAATAGAAGCGTTATTTATTATGTTTCGATTATAGAATTGATTGTTCATACTTCTTCTAACCCCCCTTGTAAATCACCCTAGTCTGTCTCTTCCCAACGACCCTTGCACATTTGCCAATTTCATTACACCACATTTTATTGACTTTTAGGTCAAAGTTTTAACCAAAATTGGTTATAATGAAATTGGCGGGCGTGCGGGCGTACATTGGAGTCGGCGCTAGGGGGTTTAGGAGGGGTTAGAGGGTAGGAATAATTAATTTTATGATTGGATCATTGTAGGTACTCCAATTTAATTGTCGTGATAATCATACTAATTAAGCTAATGTAAGATTACCTCTCCTATGGATAACCCAGAGATCTTGGTCCCACCTGAATCCATCCTGGCCGCCATGCCCTTCAACTGTATGTGTGATACTCCCTCCGTCCCTAAATATTTGCCACATTTATATTTCTGAGGTAAAATATCAAATTTTTTCAATTCATTTTATTTACATATTGGTATAGAAATAAAAAATAAAATTTACATATGAAAAAACTACATGAAAAGTTTTTCGAAATAAGAGGTGTCAAGAATATTTTATTTTATCAAATAACCAATGAAAATGTAGAAGTAAACAAAAGTTCCCGCGACTGCTGGAAAAGCAAATGTTGTGAATATTTTGGGACAGAGGAAGTATTTCATTAACTTTGGGGCCAATTTTTTTTAAATCGTATTACGGATTTTAGAGTCGATAAAAATGAGCACACTTTTAATTATGAGTAAATTCCCAAAATAGCCCTTTGTAATAAGGTGTTTTCCCAAACCAGTCCTCAATAAGTTTTAATTACTTACATGATCCTTTATAATTGAGATTTATTCCCAAGATAGTCCTTCGTAAATAATGTTATTAAAATATGGATTAATTGAGGGTATTTTGGTATTTTTTATCTGTTAACTTTATAATTAATTCTTAAAATGATCATTTATAATGAAGTGCTTTTCCAAAATGATTTTTTCTAATTAAAGATGTGTATTTGATTTGAAATTTAAAAGATTTTTTATAAGTTTAAAATAATTAATGAATTATTTAAAGTCAATGTATTTTTTCAATTTTACATTTAGTTGTACATAAATAACTGTTTCGAGAGTATACTTTGAATTTGGATGATCTAAATACTAAAATATCTCCCAATTAATCATCATTTGAATAATATTATTTACGAAGGACTATCTTGGGAACAAATCTCAATTATAAAAGACCATGTAGGTAATTAAAACTTATTAAGGATTGAATTGGGAAAAAATCTTATTACAAAGGACCATTTTGGGAATTTACTCTTTAATTATATATGAATAGATCATGAAACAGCAATGCACTTTAATTTTTCCTTTTTTTTGTAATCTGGTAGTGCCGGCTCCAAAAAATGAAAAAACAAAATTGGCCCGTTCCTAAATTTACATTTTGTTTTTGGTTATCTTTTTCTCTTGTTTCCCGTCTGGGTTAAGTAATAATGATTATTGTGGAGTGATTTTAATTGACGAGTATATGGGTTTTTTTCATACTCTCTATTTCTTAGTAATTCACTTGTAAAATGATAAGGGCAGTGGGTATACCCGTAACGCCGACTGGCGTTATGCCGGTTTTCACGCCCCGGGGGCGTTAAACACCGCCCCCCAGCGGCGTTATCCGGGCGTTACTTGGCGTGCGTCAAACGAATGACGCAGCGTCATTAGTCTCCCCCTCCTCCCTAACGGCTCTTTGAGCCGTTGCACCCCCAATTCAAAAAATAATAATTTTTTATTATAAATTCAAACCCCCCCTTCCCAATATCTCACACCATCTCCATCTTCAATCTCTTCTTATTCCCAATTTTTAAATTTCAAAATTCAAACCCCCCTCCCAATTTTCAACATGAATCCTTCCGGCTCTGGCTTCTTTCCCGACGATCTCCCGCCGAGCGACGCCGCGATGTGGTTCTACGAACAGTGGGGTGATTGACCGCCGATCTACGACACGCAACAATCGGGGTACGTCGACCGAGATTCGGTTCCGGAGACTCAACCGGAACCGTCCGGGTCGAAAAAAAGTACACGCCGGAAAAGCCACAAAGCCAAAAGCACGATGACCGAGGCGGCACGGTCAATCCAAAAGTGGACGCCAGAGGAGGAGAGCATATTGGCGTCGGCTTGGGTTGACGTCTCCGAGCATCCTATCATTGGTAAAAAATTTATTTTTTCTAATATATTTATGTTTTTATTTATATATATTATATTTAATGGTGTCTAAAAAAATTGTGTAATACATTTTTAAAGGTTCGGAGCAAACGAATGATGCGATGTGGGATCGTATCGAGGAGAAGTTCTTCACGGAGATGAACAAGGACGGCTTCTACCGAACCCGGGACCAACTCACTTCCAAATGGAGCCACATCAACCGTAAAGTCCGAAAGTTTATCGGAGTTTACGAGGAATGCTCCCGGTCCCGGAGGAGCGGTACGAACGACGCCGATGTTCTCCGGCTTGCCACGACCCGGTATCAAGACGACGGGCACCAAGGTAAGGTGCCCATCGATCTTTGGAGGATTTTGAGTCGTTCCCCGAAGTGGCAACAACTCAACAATCCCGACGGCGGATCGTTCCGGAAAAGATCCCCCGTCGATGCCGAGGTTGAGGTCGACGAGACTATCGGTTCTACCGATCAAATCCCTCCCTTCAACGTTGCGGATTCCGATGACGAGGACCCCATTCCACGGCCGATCGGAAGAAAGAAGGCAAAATCTATTGCCTCTGGTTCGGGAGGGTCCGCCTCTATTTCCGCTTCTCCCCGCGACGAAATCGGCCGGGCAATGATTCAACAACTTCGGGCGTTCAATCTCCAAGAACAAGAGAGGTTGAAGCTAAAGGAGAAGGAGTTGAAGCTAAAGGAGCAGGAGGCCGAGATGAAAGTCATGCAAACCGACCCCGCGACGTTGTCGAAGTTTGGGCGAATGATCTACGAGCAAAGAATGAAAGAGATCAAGGAGAAATATAATTTACCTTAGTCTTTTTTTATTAAAGTATATTTTTTTAAATTATTGTCGCTTTTTTTATTTAATTAATGTATTTTTTTATTATTCATGTTTCAATTTAATTAAATAATAAATTAATTACATTTTATTAATTTAATTTTAGAAGATGTATATTTAAAAATGTAAAAAATGAAGGTTTGAAGCCCCAGTTTGAAGCCCCGGGGCTTCAAAACCATTTCTAGTGAATTTTCGGTGTAAGTTAAAGCTGACGTGGCAGAGAGAAAAGGTTTGAAGCCCCGGTTTGAAGCCCCGGGGCTTCATGACCATTACCAGTGCTCTAAGAATATTTCTATTTCTTGATGCCATTGGTATGTGTATACAAGAGTACTAGTTTTTACCTCGTGCTTCGCACGGGCTCACATATTTCTCTATAAAATATATCTATATGTTAACATAGATATTATAAGTTAACATTTTGGATGTTTGTTAAAAGTTCAATTCATATATGAACATAATATGAATTAAAATTTAATTTTATTTATTTTAATGTTTTAATAATAATATGATATGCATTAATAAAATAAATAATGTAATAAGATAAATTTTTTGAAACAAATCGTTTAATTAATAAATATGCATATGTGATTAAATTTATATAATCATTTTTTAAAAAGTAATAAACTAAAATAAGTTGTGGATAATATAAAAATTATATACATATATATATACATACATACATATATATATATATATATATATATATATATATATATATATATATATATATATAATGGAGTATATTTTACAATGGTGAAATATATATTTATAGAATTATTAAAAAATAAAAAAGTTTTATGCAAATATATTCAAAGATCTTTTTAAAAAATCAAAATGGACCAATGAATTAAAATGTATAAATCCACATCATTAGTGAGTGCACATGTGGATGCACATGTGGCATGCCACATGTCAACACTACAACAATTAAACTCTCTTTTACACACACACACACATATATCTAGAGTAAATAATAATTAATATATACATATAATTAAATATAATAAATATTATATTTAACACCACTTTTTGTAGAAAACAATAATGAAGATTAATTTTATATCGAGTTGTCTTATTGAATACCAAGAATATATATATATATATATATATATATATATATATATATATATATATATATATATATATATATATATTCTTCATTATTTCATATGATTCATTATTATTAAATTATAGGAGACTACGATTTCCATTTTTGAAAAAGAAAGAGCCCCATCTCTGAGGACCCTTTCAGATCTGACCGAACTAGGGTGGACACGGTATCGGTACGGTACCGTGACCGGCAACGGTACCGCCGGTACCCGCCACCGTTACCGCCGTCCAGGACGTTCCACCGGTTCCGGTACCGCCCCCACGGTACCAGTTCCGGTACCCATTTTTCGGTACCGGCACTGGCGATACCGGTTCCGATACCTTATTCATTTTTTTGTCCAGCCTCCACCTCCAGCAGTCCAGCCCTTCCAGCTCCAGCAAGGCAGCAATCCCTATAAAAAAGTTAGTGGGGGTGGGGGAGTGGGCGAGACATATTTAAATAACAATTACATTTTTAAATTTTTTTATTTCATTCTTTCCTTTATAAATTGAATTTTTAGATATTTTATTTCATTCTTTCTTTTAACAATTGCACATTTACAATTTTTACACTTTAAAAATTTAATAAAAAAGTAAAAAAAAATAATTTGGATGTGGCCGGTCCGGTACAGGAACCGGTACCGACCGGTCTGGTCACGGTACCGGTACCAAGGGGTGGCGGTTCCAGAACCGAAACCGTCTTGGAACCATACAGTGTCCACCCCTAATCCGAACGATACTATTAATTCCGATCTTAATTACAAGTGGCAAGGAACATATGGGACACGACAGTGACGCAAGAGTATGTCTTGAACGGTTGTTTAGCACTTTCCTAATGGTGAAATCATATCATCATAATGCTGTTTTCTCATTAATCATCATTTCAAAACATCATTACACATAAGAAGATAGACCAGCTGTATGCCTTAAACACTACTAGAGTACTAGCTACTCCGTGTTGTATTTTATCGTCACACTTAATATTTTAGTACTTGATCAAATTTATTTATTTATATATTTTTATTGATTACTTGACAAAATAAAATATCATTATTGTATCTTGTTTTATAATTTTTTTTATATATTTCTAAAATACATAATTTTTACTCTTAATCTTTATGTTAATTTATATATATATTATTCATAAAATAGATGTAATTTTGTACCCTACGTTGTTAAAAGTGAGACTATATTCCTAGGAGGAAGGGAGCATATTTTGATTACATTACGAATTACAATTACTCAGTAGTTGATAATCTCATCTTTGATCAACACTGTAAATTGGACCCTTTTTAGTTTGTATCATTTCCTTGTATGATCAATGTAATATAGTGGGAAAGAATTGTATGGTGTAATAATTAATTAGAACAAACATAATGGTATGTTTGGGAACATGGATTTGGATTTCAAATTCGGATTTGATTTAAATTTCATGTTTGGGAAACTTAAGTATTTTGAATTTGAATTTGAATCAAATTCTTTACATTCAAAACAAAGCTTAATTTGAAATCCATGCACCTCCCCCTGTCATTTGAAATTCTGGATTTCAAATTTTGGAATTGAAATGTATGAATTGAAATGAAATGATAGTTGCCAAACACCACCTAAAATAATTCAAGATGTCAACAAAACAACTAATTTCAAATCCGGTTCCATGATTACTCTATTTGAGTGGTTATGGAGGCCAATGTTTATATACGATATTCAGTTCGTGAAATAAACAGTTCCTATTTGTTAATGTCACAGTAAACTCCACACCTAGTTATGACCTCAAATTCTTGCACCCACGCCAATTATACACCACAAATTTAGTTGATTTTGATGCCAAAATTTGTTTACCAGAAAGAGGTTAGGGAGGATAAGAACTACACAATATTAATTTTATGAACAGAATATTGTATGTGTCTGAATTAAGACAGTGGCTTCCTAGCCACTCAAAGAGAGTGGTCCGGTTTTCTATTTTATAGAGTACTCGAGCCACTAATTCTATTTAAATCGGCCAAATTGGATTAGTGAAGGTTAAATAGTACTCCCTCCGTCCTAAAATTTTCTTCCCGTTGCGCAAAACGAAGAAAAATCCCAAATTTTTTCAATCTATTTTATTTAAATATTGGTATAGAAATAAAAAATAAAACATACATATTTAAAAATTACATCAAAAGTTCAACAAAACAAGTGGTGACAAGAATATTTTATTTTATCATATAGGCCATGAAAAAACACAAATAAATATAAATTTTCGTGAAGTTGTAATAGTGCTCTGGGAACAAAATTTTAGGACGGGGAGAGTAACTGATTGGACATTTTCTTTTTTCGAATGAGCCCAAATGTGCATTTTAAATATATACTCTAGGTAGGGATGTCAACAGGTCAGGTTCGGTTGAGTTTGAATATATTGAGTCTCGATTCAACTTAAGTCGAGTTTAAATTTGATTTTGGCGATTTGGTTTCGGCCGATGATGAGAGGCCCTTGGGGATGGAGTGATCCTTTTTTTGTTCAGTTAGATAAAAATTATACGGAGTATTAGATATTCATAAAGAAATAAATAATTTGATTAATTTGCTGAAAAAACTTTCGTTATACGGAGTATTAATATGCAATGTAAATTAAATGTGATAGAAGATCAAAACTTGTTAGGTTTGATTCTAAAAGTCACACTAATTTGACAAATAACATGAGACATTTAGAGTATATGATTCTTACTCTTTCCGTCCCAGTGTATTTGTTCAGTTTGATTTTTTCGAGTCAAACTGGACAAATTTTGAGATTCAATTAAATAAAAATTGTAATGTATTTTAATATAAAAACGACTTTATTGGATATATCATATTGAGAATTTTCAAAATTGTATTTCATTATGCTAATATGCAATATAAATTAAGAATAATTGGAGTTTAAAGTTTGTCCAGTTTAATTCGAAAAAGTCAAACTAGACAAATACATTGGGACGGAGGTAGTATTTTATTACTCCCACCAAGTTGAATCTTATGCCCCACAATCACCTCTACACACTTAATTGAATTTAGGCCATAGGTAGAATTTGTTGATTTCTTCATTTTAAAATAATTTTCCATTTTAGTATAAAAATTTAATTGAAAATATTTTTAATTTAATTTATTTGATTATAAATGTATACAAAATTTAAAAATAATATTGAAAGATTACATCTACACTCTACAAAGAAATGACATTATTATATTATTCTAATATAGGACTAAGAAAAATAGTTAGAAAGCAATTAAAATTTGAACATAAAAATAGTACGAGTAATTGAGAAGAAAGTGTTCGGAAGAGCGGAGTACTATTTCGGGGCAGGTGGGCCGTGGCCTCAGTACCTACTATGGCAATCCATTGGGCTGTGGGCTTTGGCCGCCGATCTTCCCGGTTTTCCCGATCGGGATTATACACTTTGGCCTTCTATCTATTATGGGTTGGACCGTGCCAATATTTTATATTTGGGTCATTGTGCCCATCAATCAACTAAACATTGACCCAAAATAAAGTAGGAGTAAAAATAATTTTTTAATTCAAAAAGAAAAGGATTATGTGGAANTATGAGTGTAAAATATTACTCCCTCCGTTCTTAATTAGATTACAATTTTTTTCTATTTTCTCTCGATAACTTTTGTTTGTTTACGCGATTTCATTAAGCGTTTGATGAAATAAAATGTTATTATCACTTCTTGTTTTGTAGAACTTTTGACATAGTTTTTTAATATGTAATTTTTATTTTTTTCTCGAAAAATCGATTTGTAAATAAAATGATTCCAAAAAATGAGATATTTCTCCTCGAAAATCCTAATTTGTTATCAAATTTTGAATTTGTTATCAAATTGGGGACGGGAGTATGAAAAAATTATTTAATAAAACACTGTATGTGAAATGAGTTTGAAGTCCAGAAAAATTTGAAATTTG